ATCCCTTGGGTTGCAAACTATACCCAAGAAAGGTACACAGTTGAGAACGGAAATTAAATTTATGTGACTGAAACGACCGCAAACAAGAAAAACATCGGTAGCCAAACACCCACAAATGGTTATACTTAGGTATTTCTCCAAACAACCTCTTAAACGAAAACACACCACAAAGAACTTTGATGAGCATCATATTAATCAAATGAACCACCGTCAATGATGCTTATTCCAACAACGTTAAAGCCATATCAATGACATATTTGCGTTTAACAACCCTATTTTACTTGGATGTATATGGACAAGTAACACGATGAATCACACCACTTTTATGAAGAACTTTCGACAAGCTTTGAAACTCCCCCACCCCAATCACTTTGAACCTCCTTAATGCACACACTAAATTGAGTTTGAATCATTCATTGAAAAAAAATAGATTCAAAGCTTGAGTTTTATCATGCAATAAATAAACCCAAATATGTTAAGAGAAAGCATCCACAAACGACACATAATACTTAAATCCATTAGAGGATATATGAGGAGGTCCTCAAAGATCTTTAGAGACCACTTGAAATGGAGCACTATAACTAGTTTGAGAATAGACAAACAAAAACTTATGATTCTTCCCCATTTGACAAGCAACACACAAAGTTTTATTTAATGAAACTCAAAGAACAATATTACATGATGCACTCAGTTTTAACAAAACATCACGAGACGGATGGCCAAGACATTGATGTATTACATCATAATCTAAACTCTTAGCACAAGCTAATTTTTTCACAAAACTACTATCACGTAAACAATCTAAAGGTGTATCAAAAGTATATAAATCTCCTTCTTCACGTCCCTCAAGCAAAATATCCTTAGAAACTTCATCACAAACAATACACTATCGAGCATGAAACTCAAAAAACACATCTTTGTCTCTAGTAAGCTTAAACACCAAAAGGAGATTTTTAGTAATAGTTAGCACAAGTAGCAAATCATTCAATTGCAATGGTCGAGAACAAGTAGATAAAAAAGAGTGACGAATATATAATTCATTACCACCGCCAATAACAAGCTTACCGACATCATTGAACGTGGAGCTATCATTCACAACCACATCATCGAAAGTAACGTGATGTGTTACCCCAGAATCAATACACCAAGAGGATTAAAAATTATTCCCTGTGCACAAAGAGGAACCACCCCGACCAAAATCACCAAAAATGGCTATACCAGACACAACACTACCCCAGAAGCTATTGCCCCTACATCGACACCGAGAAATGATAGATCAAATTGATACGAACATTGATTGATAAGTTGGCCAAGTTTCCCACAAAGTTGACACTGAAAACGACTCCAACCACGACCCTTTCCACCATAAAAGCTGACAGAAGAACATTCACGACCAGTTGAAGTCAATGGCTTTACCAACTGCTTAGGAACCACACCCAAAGTAGACGAGGACAAACCAAGCGAGGTAAAAGACATTTTTACCATATTGGCACTCAGGTACACACTATCAAATTGCTCAGAATTGTGTTGTTGCACATTCACATCAATAAGCATCGAAACGATATTCTCAAGCGAGAAAAGTTCTCGACTAGTGGTAATGACAACCACAAACAGTTGATACTTCACCAGAAGACCATTTAAAATGGTGACCACCTATTAGTACTCAGAGATCAAAGCTCCACAGGAAGCAAGGGTGTCACACACCTCCTTTACTTAAGCAATGTACATATGTATATCGAGATCTCCCTTTTTCATCACCTTAACTTTATAATAAATATTAATGATCCTAGTAGGGAACGACTGAAAATAAACTTGGTGACTTTGGACTAGATCTCTATTGATTTCTTGACGTCGACGAGATGAGAAAGAAAGGACGATCTAATTGTCGATAACAGCCAAAACACCAAGGTGCTATCCTGAGCAACATAAACTTTGTACTCATCTTTGTCAACCACAATGCCATCACCTCTAATCTTCGTTTCACATGGATGACACACATCATCGGTCAAAAGCTTCTCTAGATGATGGCTACGCACCGTGAGGATGATATGTTATTTCTACAGAAGAAATATAGATTCATCGAGAGTAATACTAACCCTTTTATTTGTAAAGACGTTACCATCAAGAGTACCACCAGACCCAACTGAATCAAATCCCGACATCACCAAACAAGAGAGTCGCGTAGAAAGAAGAAAAAATAGAAGTATGAAGCCAGAACCCTAAAAAAATGGCATCGATACCATGTTAACTTCTCAATTTTTCCTTCTCAAATTTGATTATTTAACATGTAAAATATGCGTACAGTGAGAGAGATAAGATTACTCTATATAAAGGCATATTCCATGTAGTTTTCCATGCACACTTATCACAAATGTAATCTAGCTATCGTAACAAACCAACTAACAACCTCTATACGTTAGCACGAGCTAACAGCTCGCTACCCCGAGCTAACGGCTTCACCTCATAACTACTTACATTATATCCATCCTCACCCCAATTGTAGCGGATGTAGTGCAAAATCTACGAAATTATACTCGTCTGTCACCCCCTACTGCAGATCTCAACGTTTAAGCACTTTTTTCGAATTCAGAATATAAGGTATTTATTAGTAAGTCAATATATCAACATCACAAAACCCCAACAAGTTCAAAACTGTAGTCAATGCCTTGGTACTGAAACAATATAAGGCCTTTATCAAGAATTAGACATTACAATTAGGAAAATATAAGGGACTAAACCAAACTTTTTTGAATTAGTGATTAAAATCGAATGAACAAAAAAATATAAGAGATCACCTATGTATTTTACCCTTAAAATATTTGACTGTCAATATATCAAATATTCATCAATATTTTAAACTATTATTACATCATCTAATTAAATATATTTCATTAAATTAAAATCTTTTTTCCAATCGTTATAAAAGAACTATTTTCTAATACATAAATTTTTTTTAAAAGAAATATACATAGGATCAAAGCGTAGTTTTATACTAAAAGGATTTGTTAACACTTTTACTGGAGGTGTGAACACTGTTGGAGACATGGAGCATTGGAAGGTGCGGCAATTCCCTTGGAAAACCATTACAATGACTGCGGGAAGAAGAAATTAATGAAAAGGAAAAAGAAAGTTAAACAAACACTTATTAAATGGCATGTGTGGGATCCATGTATAGATGAGCAACTGCTGATGTAATGTAAACAAATCCTTAACCTACGCTTGGTTTAATCATTAATTGTTTTATACATTCTCCTTATTATACATACATACATACATACATATCTTTCCGGAAGGAAGCTTCATTACGATTACATTACTCATGAAGATATTTTTTTCTCACTTTCAATAAGAACAAAGATATTGCAAAATAGAAACCAATAAATTGAATGTTAAGTCTTGGGAATTGAAACAATACAATAGTAATTAATAAGATAAATATTTGGTTTTTAAGTATTTTTTTTTAAATATGTACTAATTAATTAATAAGACATCAAGAGGGATAATTATGCGGTAGGACAACCAAATTTATACGACCAAAATGAGTGCAATAAAAATGAGATAAAAACATAATATCGAAAATGTTATAAAAATAATATTTTTGGTTAAATAAAAAATATTAAAAAATAATATTTTAATTATATCTAACTTAAAATATTATATTTTTAATCATATTTTTTTACTGTGTCAATTTTTACTAGTTTTAGTCTTAAATTAGCTTGGATTGCTTAGACTTCCCCCTTTAAAAGAGCATAATAGAATATTGATTTGAGCCGGGAATGATTGCTAAAAGTACAAGGCAAAGTACATATATATTATAGGGTGATATTTTGTTAAATATTTTAACTATTAAAATTATAAAATGATTATTTAATTATAAGTATATTATTTTTATTAAATCTGTAACTATTAAAAGTTACAAAATAATCATTCGACTATTTATATGTTTAAAAATTGTCATTTTCATTGAAAATTGATGTACATCTAAGTTAGACGTTAACTTGTTGACTGTGATATAATAAAATATAATCTCAAAATTGTTTAAGTTGTATTTTGTGATTAAATTATGTAGTTGATATAGTGCATAAAATATTATACCATCGAGGTAATGTTTTAAAACAACGACAATGTCAGTAAAATTTATCAAACTATAATTTTATCATATCCTAGTCCGTAGATTAACGTCTAACTCATACGACCGTAATTTTTTTTCTAGCATAAAAAGATTAATTTACAACATATAAATAATCAAATAATCATTTTATAACTTTTAATATTTAGATATTCAATAAAATAATATTATATATTTAAAGATTATTTTATAATTTTTAATTACACCAAAACTCAACAAAAGATACCCTGACAAATATTAGAAAATATCTATGTACGTAAAGGACTCTTTTGACTTTTGGAGTAGACAAAATTGGTGATACCACTCGGTGTCATTTTATCACAATAAATGGAACTCATAGTACAGTACCTGCGTGAATATATTATTTTTACAGTCGCATAGAATCAAGAGACAAAAGGCAGTCAGGCAGCAGGAGCAATTGCTAATTACCATATTAAACTAGGTCAGAGAGTATATTAACGAGTGTGTCGGTTGGTTTTGTAAGTATATTTGTGGGTTAAATTTGGAATTAGGTATACGTCAGACAATGGTGGTGTTGATTTAAGTCTCTTTGATGGTATTATAGTGAAACGGTGATGCAATTTATTGACCACTAGAAGAAAACATTTTTGCTGATCTAACAGTAAACGTTATGGTAAATAGGGTCTCAGATTGGAAAAATTCCGTTTCACTAAACATGGTTAATTTAAACATGGCCGATTCCGTTAACGCGTGAGCAACACTCACCGATATTAAGCTTTTAATCTTCCATCTAACAACATTGTAAAGCCTCCATCTTTTTATTATTGGATATCTTTTTCTTACTGTCTTTGCCATTCTTTTTCTTTCACTTTCCTTTTGTATTGTAACAATGACGATGAACACATGTGAGCTGAAAAACTGTACACAAATTTCTTTTTATATTTTTTCATTTATAAAGGTGTCTGCTCAGAGTCTCACTTCGCTCTGTGTGAAAATGGGTTCTCTACTTTACTCTCATTAAACCACAGCCGCAAGCCAACCAGCTCAAAACCTTTTCTTTAGTTTCTCATTTCTAGTTCAGTTTTGAGCAGTTGAGAAACATGGAAACGAGCTCATTTTCTAGGCTTTTAATTGCATTTTGGTTAGCGCTATGTTTGGGCAGTCAAGTGGTTCAGAGCAGTGTTACCTATGATAGGAAAGCTATAATGATTAATGGACAGAGGAGAATCCTCTTCTCTGGCTCCATTCACTATCCCAGAAGCACTCCTGATGTACTTCCAAAGTTTCTGTTTTTTTTAAAAAAAAAAATTTAGAGCATTTTTGTCTATGAATTTTCTTTTCGTTTTGAAGAAAATAAAACGGGGTTCCTTTTTTGTATGTATAGATGTGGGAAGATCTGATACTGAAAGCTAAAGATGGAGGACTTGATGTGATTGAGACTTATGTTTTCTGGAATGTCCATGAACCATCTCCAGGAAATGTACTCTTATCTCCCCCTCCATTTTCCTCTATAACATAAAGTTTATAATTTTACTCTATTTTCTTTTCTAACTTGGTTCACATTTGTTAAATATTTTTTCTTAAACGATTTTGCAGTACAATTTTGAAGGAAGATATGACATTGTGAGATTCATAAAGACAATACAGAGAGCAGGTCTCTATGCTCATCTCCGCATTGGGCCTTATGTTTGTGCAGAGTGGAATTTCGGGTTAGATCTAAATCTCCGTTTAACTCTTTTTCTTCATTTCACTTCTTCTTTCTCTTCTTTGCTGTTTGAGATAATTTAGGGAACTTATATTTTCCTGGCTGTTCTCAATATTTTTACCATATGCAGAGGGTTCCCTGTGTGGTTAAAATTTGTGCCAGGCATCAGCTTCAGAACGGACAATGAGCCTTTCAAGGTATCCCTTCTGTTGTTCTTCATTATTGCTTTAATCTCCTTTGTTCTAACTGCATGGCAAATTTGAGCAGAACTACTTGAAGATAAATAACCATTAATTGTTAAGCATGTATTTTAGCCATTTTTCCAAAAGGTAAATAGATAAATAAGGATTGATTGTACATTTTTACAGAGAGCTATGCAAGGGTTTACTGAGAAGATTGTTGGACTGATGAAGAGTAATAACCTGTTTGAGTCACAGGGTGGCCCCATTATTATCTCTCAGGTAAAATGTTTTGTTTGTTGGTGTTTTTTAACCCATTTTTTATATTTTTTTCTAAAAATCTTTATGTGTCTTAAGATGCCAATTTATGTAACTATGCATTTTGCTAATATGAAACTTTTCCCCCTCTCTTTTGGATTTGCATGTGCTCAGATTGAGAATGAGTATGGAGCAGAGAGTAAATTACTGGGGGCTGCTGGCTCTAATTATGTTAATTGGGCAGCAAAAATGGCAGTAGAAACCGGAACTGGGGTCCCTTGGGTGATGTGCAAGGAAGATGATGCCCCAGATCCAGTGGTAAGCAAATAGCCCTCAAATCTATATTTAGCCTGTCGAGTTGCTTCCTCTATGGTCTTACTGAACTTGAACAGTAGTAAGTGAATTCGGCTAGAAGTGCACAATGAGAATGACTAAGAGAGTTTCATGTATAATTATCTTAGATAAACACATGCAATGGCTTCTACTGTGATGCATTCCAACCCAACAAACCCTACAAGCCAACAATATGGACCGAGGCATGGAGTGGATGGTAGGCTTATCATGTGTTTATATTTTTGTAACCTTGAAGAATCTTGTATGAATGATAAATCATTTTATACAAAAGGTTCTCGGAGTTTGGAGGTTCACTTCACCATCGGCCTGCTGAAGATTTGGCATTTGCTGTTGCTCGATTCATTCAAAAAGGAGGATCCTTTGTTAATTATTACATGGTTGGTTCCCTATATTTTCCATCCGTGTTCATATATTTTCAAAGCACATGAAATATAATGGAAAATGGAATATCGTTAACTGAGTTGCTTGTTTTACAATGTGAAACAGTACCACGGAGGCACAAATTTTGGTCGTACGGCTGGAGGTCCTTTCATCACTACCAGTTATGATTATGATGCTCCAATAGATGAATATGGTGAGAAAGGAGCTATTTGCATTTTTCCGTGTAGCTTGTTCTGTTATAATACCAAAGAATTCTTACATCTGCTTTAGGTGTTTTCTGTTTGTTTGGCATGTGACTGCTCTTTTAAATATGCACTTTTAACACTCCAAATGGTTTGAACAATATAAATTCAATTCTTATTTGCTTGTCTGCTGATCTATACATATATACTTATTTCTGGCTTTCCGTCAATCCTTTAATTGGATTATGGAATTGTAAGACACTGGTCTCATATCCCGTACACACTCCTTGCTATTTCCTCCCCTTTAATTCAAATCTTAGTCAATTTTCTATCACCTTTATATGATGCCTCAGGTTTTAGTCAGCCAGGTTAATGCATTACTAACTACTTGGCACAAAACATTACAGGTTTGATTAGACAGCCAAAGTATGGTCATCTAAAAGAGCTTCACAAGGCTATTAAGATGTGCGAGCGGGTTTTAGTTGCAGCGGACCCCATTGTCACTTCACTTGGAAACTTCCAACAGGTTTTTGTTTTTTTCTCTTCTCATTCTGGAATATGTGGAGTTAGAGTTTACTGAATCTAGGTACTTCCCAGGCTCACATGTACACATCAGAATCTGGAGATTGTGCAGCTTTCCTATCTAATTACGATACCAAATCTGCTGCAAGAGTGTTATTTAACAACATGCACTATAACTTGCCTCCTTGGTCCATCAGCATCCTTCCTGATTGCAGGAATGCAGTCTTTAACACTGCAAAGGTACAGTGTTTGGAATTTGCATGATCTGTTTCAGTATTATTGTAACCGAAGTAGATTCTTTGATGACGATTTATTCTTGGTATTGAGGGTTTCATGAATGGCAATAAGTCATTGTCGTCCTTTTCAGGTTGGAGTCCAGACATCACAAATGCAGATGTTGCCCACAAGTGTTAATATGTTATCTTGGGAAAGCTATGATGAAGATATTTCTGCACTAGATGACAGCTTAACAATAATTGCTAATGGTCTATTAGAGCAAATAAATGTCACAAGGGACGTAAGTGATTACTTATGGTACACTACTAGGTGAGGCTGATGATCCCATGGTTATATTTGAAGAAATTTACTTTTTTATTGTTCTTAATTTACATTTATGACGCTTACTGATACTTAATTTCGAAATGCCTTATATTTTACAGTGTTGACGTTGGTTCATCTGAATCTTTCCTTCATGGAAGTGAACTCCCCACCCTCATTGTTCAATCAACAGGTCATGCGGTACACATTTTTATCAATGGACAACTCGCAGGTAGATTTACATAGTCATATTTCCTGTTTGGTGCATTGTCTTCCTTTTTTTTCTCAGAAATAAAAATCGTACGAATGATGGTAACAGGTTCTGCCTTTGGAACAAGGGAAAATAGGAGATTTACATTCACCGGGAAGGTCAATCTGCGTGCAGGAACAAACAAAATTGCACTGCTGAGTGTTGCTGTCGGATTACCAGTTAGTTTCTCTCCCTGACCTTTATTATGTTGTACAGCCAAATCATAACTAATTTGGTAACCACTGTCACCTTTGCATCCCATTCAATGAGCGCATTTTGAACTACCTTTTTGGAGAACTAAGCAGACTAACTAGAGGTCAGAAAAGGTTTCGAGCCTTGTAGTTGGAATATAACTGGGCAATTAGTTTAGAACTTGAATTTTTTTATGACCAGCTTTCTTTTAATCTTATAATATGAAGCAAATGTAAATTTGGAAAAGAAAAGTAATGGCATTGTTATTGTGTTTTATGCCGGGAACCTGACTCTGTCGGTGATTGAAGAATGTAGGGGGACACTTTGAGACATGGAACACTGGAATCCTAGGTCCAGTTGCACTACATGGACTCGACCATGGAAAACAGGACCTATCCTGGCAAAAATGGACATACCAGGTAGTGATCTCTCAATCTTTAATGTCGTTATCATTCATGCAAAAATGTTTAATCATGATTGTTGCTTTGAACAGGTTGGGCTTAAGGGCGAGGACATGAATCTTGTCTTACCAAATGGTATTTCTTCTGTCGAGTGGATGGAGGGATCATTGGCAGCACAAAAGCAGCAGCCATTAAGATGGCATAAGGTAAATAAGAATGAATGGAACAAGTACTAGTATAAGTTGTGGCACTTAAAGTTAAAAAAAAAAATCCTTCCGATGTCACAGGCATACTTCAATGCACCTGAGGGTGACGAGCCTTTAGCTTTGGACATGGAAAGTATGGAAAAAGGTCAAATATGGATTAATGGGCAGAGCATTGGTAGATATTGGACTGTTTATGCTCATGGTGATTGCAGTGGCTGCAGTTATGCCGGGACATTTCGACCACCAAAGTGTCAGCTTGGTTGCGGCCAGCCAACCCAAAGATGGTAACTACTCTTAGGACCCAAGATATACAGCAAGCATGAAACAACAATTACCTTGAGTAACAAATATGTTCATCGTTTAATCAGTAATTTCCGTTTATTATAACATTGCAGGTACCATGTGCCTCGGTCTTGGTTGAAACCAACACAAAATCTGTTGGTTCTATTTGAGGAGATTGGCGGAGATCCATCGAAAATCTCGCTTGTGAAAAGATCCGTGTCCACCGTTTGTGCCGAGATCTCAGAGTATCACCCGAATATCAAGAACTGGCAGATTGAAAGCTACGGGAAGACGGAAGAGTTCCACGGACCAAAGGTTCACTTGCACTGTAGTTCCGGACAGGCAGTCTCTTCCATCAAATTTGCTAGCTTTGGAACTCCTTTGGGAACTTGTGGAAGTTACCAGCAAGGCCCTTGCCATGCTCCTGCTTCGTATGCCATCTTGGAGAAGGTATTTCAACTTCCTTGTCGGAAAAATAAACCGAAAATTGCAGGCATGCATTTCTCACCATGTTCAACTATTTTAATCTTTTGCAGAAGTGTGTTGGGAAGCAACGATGTGCCATCACCATAGCCAACAGAAACTTTGGGAAAGATCCATGCCCGAATGTATTGAAGCGTTTATCGGTTGAAGCTGTTTGTACTCCGATGATATCAACAATAGCACAACCAGGGGTAAATTAGATCGAACGAGTGATGGAGTTGTAACAATAGCACAACCAGGGCTAAATTAGATCGAACGAGTGATGGAGAACAACTCCATATAACGTTTGTAACTAGTAATTTAACTTGCACTATCAGGCATTGAAGCAGGCAGAAAAGAAAAAAAAAGAAAAAAAAGTGGAAAGAAAAGGCGTTTGGTTTAGTTAAGGTTGAGTGCCAGAGTTTCTCAAAATGGAGGGCTTTGGCCGAAGGTATTTCAGTGTTATAGGCAGTTGTTTTAGTTTGAGTAGGGCTTAGGGTCCTCGTAAGTTGAAATTTCTAGCTTGTGCCCCCTCCGGCCTTTTAACCGGAGAAAAAACACACACGATGTTGGTGTGATTGATTTGTATTTGTACGAGTGGGGGAAAGTTAAAAGTGCCTTGGTTTTCAGTTCACCGTTGTTGAAGCCAAACCAGGGAAATGGATGGTTTTAACACCTGCAGTGTACTAACAAAACACCACTTAATAACGGAAATGGAGGGATCAATCACCTCGTACATTAGTGGTACTTAATTGTCTTGGGACATTTTTATTCCTTGGTGATTTTGAATTTGATAGAGGAATTTCTAGTATTTGGTCTCTAAGGGCCCTTATATTTTCAGTTTACGCCCACATCAGTTGGTGGGCCTGGTTGATCTCTGGCACTTTATAGAAGAAGAGGGTGTTGCTTGGTTGGTAGGCAAAATAAAAAAAGTGTGGTGGTCTCTTCTATGGCTGACACCAAGTAAAAAAACCCGCATGCGGCCCTGCAAAAACAGTTGGTTCAAACACTAGCCTCTCCTTAATATATTTATATACGGTGCAAATCAATGGTCCATTTACCTCCCCCTAACCTCTACATGGTTTTCCTGTGAGGCCCATAGCTGCTTCTACTTTCTCGCATTTCAAAACTTAATTCTCTGTACTCAATTCACCCTAAATTTTCTGCATACCCTGACATAATGATAAGACATGTCCTGCCGTTGCCAAAAAGTTTCAAATCAGACACGGTTTTGGGATTCAAAAGCTTTGCTCAAGGAAAGGGAATAAATCATTTCATTTGTTTCCAAATGATTCTTTTTTAGTCAAATCTGTAAACCCAACTTTAAAGAAAGAATTAATACCCCTACGGATTGAGCATCTCCGTCCTTTCGGCTTTAAGCCGAGAACCCCCCCCCCCCACCCCCACAAAAAAAAATGCAACATTAACCACTTAGAAAAAACAATTAAAGCCGAGAACCCCCCAGAAAAAAACACAAAAAAAATGCAACATTAACCACTTAGAAAAAACAATTAAAACTAAAAGGACTAATATACGTTCTAGTGTGATAGAATAAATTTAATCTTTTTGAGTATTTCAACAATAATTAGAAGTTTTAAATTCAGATTAAAGATGATGATTATGTTCGAAATTAACCCTGAATTTAATTGAAAATTATTTTTATACAGATATTTTATTATACTTACCCATATTATATTAATAGGGGAAAAGACAATAGATTTTTGTTTATTAGGGGCAAAATAAAAGAAAGAAACTCGAGAAAGAAGGATTTCATAAGTGGAGGGTTGATATGAGGGGTGTTGGCATTTTACTATGTTGGGCGGTGCATGCACTCGTACCCACACTTCTTTTCCGATGCCCCCCCAACTTGTCCTTTCAACCCTAACTTCAGCATCACGATTTCCATCTTTCCTATTTGTTTCCATTCTATACCGAGTCTTGATTATCATTATAATGTTGATTCTTAATGCATGCACTATTATTATTTACAATAAAGGGTATGAACTATCGTTAAACTTGATACATTATTGTTTATTATTAATAAGTATTGAGTAAACATCATGTTTTAAAAAAATGAATTAGGCAGGAAGAGAAAGTTGAGACAAGTCGATGGCCCTAATGGCTAAATTGCATTGTTTTTAGGGTATGAAACACCAGACCAAGGCCATTGCATATATGATGACAGTCCCCCTCCAAAGTCATTCGGCAGTGGCATCGTGCATATAACAATCTTTACTTTTTATCCGTTTCCAAGGCACCTTCTTCGCTCAATCAATCAACTACTAACTAAAATGAGTATTATTCCCGTAAAAGATTTCATATCTGCGTATCAATGCCTATAAAATAAGAATGTGTGTTATCAATAAGTTACGATATAATATTTGAACTCGATATCTTAAGAAATAACAATAATTTTTTTTTAAAATTAATTCTATTCATAAAAATGGTTATTTATTTTAAAATTAAGTTTCATTTCACAAAAGATATTAATATACTTAGAAATTGATGTGTTCCATGTCGCCGTCGCTTTTTCTTCTCTTTTCAAAACCGAATCTAAGGACAGTATTGGACGGTTTTCAATTAAGATTCTCGAGTTAGAGTCAATATTTGGCTTTGATAAACCAGCCCTATTGATCTCCATTAAAATAAATAAATTATATATATATATATATATTTGAAACATTATTAATATTTAAACATGTTTTAGTATGATGTGTTTATTTTAAGTGGATTTATGCATGTCATTTCATAGCATAAAAATTACCATGAAAAAAATATTTAATATTTTAGACGGGCCAATAGAATTTGGGCTATTTTTACTCAAAATACCACCATAAAAAATATTCACTAGATTAACACTTGTTTCAAATTATTTTTCGATTGATACATTTTTGTGCCACATAGAACAAAGACGTTTCAGATCAAATACACTTCTAAAGGTGTTTTCTATCGAAAGCACCTTTTACCCACATAGTGTCACCGTTATAGAAAATCAGACTAAAACAAAAGAAAAGAAAATAATAGGCAAAAAATATTTAAAAATATATAATATTTATTCAAAAACAAACACACACTATAAATGCTAAGTTCATGTATTTGCTCAAGCAAGATTCAAGTCAAACAATAGCATATGAGTATGAGCACTGTCATCAATCATTCAAAGAATACATATTTAAAATATTATATTTAAACACTTGAAAAATACATATCCGAACAATATGGGATTTGAGAAGTTCATAGCCAAATATATTGATTTTTAGCTATTAAAAACATGTCATGAACTTGATCAAACCTAGATCTTGAACTTTGTATGGTGTTGTTTTCTGAAATATTTTGGATTCCAATATAAAAAATTATCTTTGATTGTCTTAGTGACATGAGTCTGATCAAGTTCAAAACTTGTCTTTAATAACTTAAATCAACCAATTTGGTCATGATCTTCTCAAATTATTTTTCGAATTGACACCATTTCGTGTTACGTAGGGTAAAGGCATCTCATGTCAGGCGTATCTTTCCTTGCATGGCTTTAATGTTGTGAGAAGGTTTAGCTAAAATAGAAGAAAGAAAAACAAGATGTAATTTTTTTTAAAATATTGTACAAGTTTTATTCAAAAAGAAATAACGCCAGTAATACTTGTCGAAGACACATATTTGCACAAGTAAAAGTTTGAGTTGGACAGTGACACGTGTGTATGAGTCTTGTCTTCAATGATTCAAAAAAGTATATATTTAAAAGGTTCTATTTAAACACTTTGAAGAAACAATCATCTACATAATATAAAATTTGAGAAGCTCATAGTCAAATATGTTGATTTCCAGCTATTAAAGGTAAGTCGTGAATTTGATCAGACCCAAGTCCTGAACTCTGTTAGCTGTTGTTTTCTGAAAAACTTGGGATCCTAATATCAAAAATTGTCTTTGACTATAGTACTAACATAAGTGTGGTCAAGTTCAAAACATATCTTTATCAAGATCAATATGCTTGGTCATAATCTTCTCAAATCTCATATTATTTAAATATGTTATTTTTCAGGTGTTTATGAAGACATCAAATTGCGACCCTTTCCATTCAATTAAAATTATTATATTATATAATATAGTTACATATTATATTTTATAATACACGTTATGTTACTTTATTTACAGGCTTAAAACACGTGGCCCAACATCCCACCAGCCCGTTTGGCAGACCCAAATCCACGTGTGCGACCTAGCAGCAGCTTCCAAGCCAAACCCGTGCAGACTTAAGGTTTCCATAAACCCTAGCCCCACCTCGTCCAAACCAGTGCCGCAAGCTTCCCTCGCCGAAGATAACGCCTCCCTCATTTCACGGAGCCAATTTCCCCCATCAACAACACCAACAAACGTGTATTAGTAAGATTCTATCACCAACAAACATCAGAATTTTAGTTCAAATAGGATGCTAAATATAGGATTTTTTTCACTATAAATAAAGCTGTAAACTCTCATCAGAGGACACAGGGAATATACACAGATTATACACGAAATACTAGCAAATACGAAAGGTCCGAGTACTTGTAATTTCTGAGAGCAAGAAAGAAATAAAAGGTAGCGCATTTTATTTTATTTTTACCTTATTTAGTTCCTCTTTGCATGCGAGTGTTGATCTGTTCTTTTATTTTCATATCTTCGTTCGAGTGGCCGATGACCCGGGAAGAGTATTTGGAAAAGATCTACTCTAGGTCTACCCTCTCGAGGCCTCCTTTTCGCAAAACCAACATGTCTTTTGGAACAAGAGTACGAAGATCTCTCGGAAAAATGAATTTTTTTTTAATTTTACTGTCGATGACCGACGATCGACGCCAATCAAGGGCGGCCGACGAGACGGAGCGGGACGACCGATGGCCGGTTTTCTGGAGAGCACGACCTTTGTTCTTCAGCGTGAAGAACAGGCGAGAGGATATCAAAGAGAGAGAAGCCCTCTCTCGCGCAAAATGAAACAAATGAGGGGAAAATTTGTGTTAAATACTCGGCTCGTGAAGACCCGTCCTACCCAACCCATGCACACGTGACTTGCGTGTTTTTGAAACAAATAGGGTAAACTAACCTTTTGGTCCCTCCATTTTTAAATTTATGTTATTTTGATCCCAAATTTGGTTTTGAAACCTCGATTTTATTCTAATTTAGCCACTCGATTTATTTTTATTTTCAATTTAACCCCTGTTAAATTTAATTCGTATTTTTTAAATCTTTTAATTTTTGTTATTATTATTAATTTTATATATTACGTTATATTATATATATTATTTTTATTATATGTATATATATGTATATATTTTACTTATTTCTTTTTATACTCATTACTATTTATATTATTCTTATTATTTTCATTATTACTATTATTATTATTATTATTTTGTTTTTACTTATTTATGTATATATGTATACATTTTTACGTTTTTAATATTTTCTTCTTTTAATTTATTATTATTTATTATTTCTTTTCTTTTCCTTTTATTATTTTTCTTTATTTATTATTTTTCATATATTATTTTTATTTCTCATATTTTTAGGTTTTTTTGCGTTTATTATTTCCATATTGATGCATTTTTTATTCGATTATGTGTTTCATTACAAGTCTAGTATTTTTATTTTTTAAGGGTCTCCA